ATGCAACAATTGCCAACAAAGGTAATCCACACACCCCCACAGCACCACCCCTGGAATGGGAAACATCCAGAGGTCCCTGGTTGTGAATCCACCTTGATTTTGCTGGCCCCACTCATGGGCACACATTTCTGATAACCGTAGATGCCTATTCAAACTGGCTGGAAGTTTGCACTATGAAAAAAACAATCACAGAGGCTGTCATAGCTAAATTTAACAAACTTTTTGCCACACACGGTTTGCCAGTTGTGATAGTGTCCGACAATGGGCCACAGTTCACAGCACTGGCATTCGAACAATACCTGGCAGCCCGAGGCATCAGACATGCGTTAACGTCGCCCGCTCACCTGGCGGCGAATGGGCGGGCAGAACGAATGGTTCAGTTTACAAAAAAAACCATACAAAAAATTGAAGACGGCAATATCCAGGAAAAAATCAATAAAATGCTGCTGATACAACATATCACGCCTAACACAACCACTAACAAATACCCAGCAGAACTACTTATGGGCAGAAGACTCCGCTCACCACTAGACCGATTGCACCCCACTTATAATCTGGAGAACCCCCCCAGGCTCCACTAGCCGACATCGCGCATTCAACATCGGCGACACCATCTTCGCGAAAAGTTTCACTGGGGACCCTCTCTGGGTACCCACACGAATCACCCAAATAACCGTCCCCCGGCCATACCGCCTAGAAACAACTGATGGGTGAAGCTGGAAGTGCCACATCGACCAGCTACGGTCAAGGCTAGCCAGCACAGACTTTAACAAAGAAATTAGAGTGGGGGGGAACCTCAAACAAGGAAAAAGAAAAAAACGCAACACAAGCAGAACACCCCCCAGGCAGAAGCCAAACAATAAACCAACCATACTCACCTGAATACACAGAGCCGTTGCAGACGGGTGCTTCACCTGAAAGGAGTAGCCGGACAAGCTCGACCACCCCAGAAAATCCAGGCAGGAGCAGCGGAGCGAACGACTCAACCAATCTGGGTGAACCAGGCGGGAGTCGCAGCTATAGGCCCGGCTCACCCTTCCAGGCGGTTCCATTGGGAGGTTTGAGAGCAACGCGGAGCCCGTCTGAACCGTCCAACGACCAAAGACCAATGAAGCACGCAAGTCAAGTAGGCAGGTGTGGAGACCCGCCTACCTGCGCGACTACATCACTCCGCCCCTTGGACGATACCAAGAGGGGAGGGGTGTTCCATATTAGCAGACTTGAAACCCTGCATTCCCATTGGTCCGTTTCAACTGCTACCTGATTGGACAACCAGGGCGGTTATGATTGGCTCGCTAAGAATCTGCCACGATTGGTCGAAACCAAGTGCGGGAGACTTAAAGCAATGTCATTGGCTGCCAAGCCCTGGCGAGCTCTATAAAAGAGCCACCACGGCTGCTATTCTTTTAAGCTTGTTCTAGCTGATAAATAAAGAGCTGTTGTTACTGAACCAGAGTCTCTCGTCTTTATGAGCCCGACCTTCTGAACTTAACACAAGACACCCACAGATCTAGCAGTGATTAACAAGATACATCAATGCACAGAAATGATTAGACTAATATGTTATTAAAAAACAGGGAAGAAGAAGAATATTTTATAATATGGAATATATGGTATAACTGGTTAAAAAAAAAGTGGAGTAAAAATGTTTGTAAAAAATGACCAATGAAATCGCAAAGAAGAATGTGATATATGACATATGTGTGTATATATGTAAAGTAATATAGATAGATAAGTATTGCACTTTAATAGTAGTATAACAAGTAAGGAATTAGTAAATTAGCTTATGGTAAACGAACTTAATTGTTACTAAAGGATATGTACACTGCTATGATATCGCTGTAAAATGTGAGAACTTGTTTCTCTTTTTTAAATCTTTTGAAACTTTGAATATATATATATATATATTTTAAAAGAGTGGAGTCCAAGATCCAAGCCATCAGACAGGGGAGCAGGCCAGTGACTGAGTACATTCACGAATTTTGGAACCTAGCCAGGAAGCTGAGTTGCTGGTGTACTACTTTTGTGATGGCCTGAATTGAGAGGTGTACCATGGCTGCATGTCCCATGGCCTCCCAGATAATACCCACACATGTACCAGGCAGCGCTGAATATGGAATTGGGTCTGATAGAGTACAAGAGACATGGAGAGGCAACCAATAAGAAACCAAGAAAGGTTCTCACTGCATCCGAGGACCCCAGCCTCAGGATCATCCTCCCTGAGCGAGGCCCTGAGATGTCAACCCGGGCTGTGTTTCAGATGTGGAAAGGAGGGCCATAGGGCTGCAACCTGTCTGGCATTTAAGCCCATGACAGCCCCCAAAACCCTAAGCCTCAAAGGCCCCAAGACCAAAAAGATGCCAAAAGGGCAAGGGAAAAGATGCAGGTGGCACACCAAATTGTAGAGGTCTCTCCCCCAATCAGTGAGGGGGGGAAACTCTGACTGCCGCCAAGACCAGACTGACCCTGTACAAAAGTGACAGCGAAGGGGAGGACAACCCAAAGGTAAGTGGAACTGTTGCCCCTTTTTCTGCTCGGGTGGAGATCCTTTTGGGCTGCGGGAGCACCAGCTGTGTTCATGCAACTGATAAATGAAGTGTTGCATGAGCATTTGTACAAGAGGGTCCTTATGTACCTGGTGACATCTGAGACAATGGAGGAGCATGTGAAACTGGTGCACTAGGCACTTTTAAAACTCCTGGATGCTATGATGTGTGCCAAACTGTTAAAATGAGAGTTTCATAAATCAGTTTGTACTAGTTAAGGTACCTGGTGTCATGTGAGGGAATAGAGATGGACCCAGGGAAGGTGAAAGCCCCCCAAACCCAAAAGCAACATTAGAGTTTCTTAGGTTTTGCCAACTTTTACAGACAGTTTATTCCCTCATTTACTCAGATTGCCTTGCCAATCACAGAGTTGCTCAAGATGTGGGGTGGTAGGTGACAGAGTGAAGCCTAAGCCCAGCCAGCCACTAAACTGGACTATGGACTGCCAGATGGCACTCAAGAAACTCAAACAACTTTTTGTGGCTGAGCCAATCCTCAAACACCCAAACCCAGATTAACCATCATAATACAGGTGGACACCAGCGATATGGCAGTGGAGACAATCTTGGTCCACAAGAACACAGGAGGAAAGTTGCAACCCTGTGCCTATATGTCTTGCAAATTAAAAGAAGCTGAAAGACACTGGGAGTGTGGGAGAAAGAGACTTTTGCGGTTCATTGGGCCTTGTTAACCTGTTCCTAGAAGGCAGCAAGATCCCTTTTGAAGTGTGGATAGATCACAAAAACCTGGAGTATCTGAAGACCCACTATAAACTCTTCCCGAAGCAAGTGTGATTGGCCCAATACTTCAACCAATTTGACTTCACACTGAAGTACATTCCAGGAGGAAAGATTTGCGGATGCACTCTCCTGGATGCCGCAATACAAGAGCACCCAGGCAGAGATAGTTAATTCTATCATACCCTCCAAGTAATTAGCAAACAAAGTCTCTACAAGACAACAGATTCGAGGGACCCTACTGAAGCCTGGGAACACCCTAGAGCAGGGGTGTCAAATTCAATTTCATTGAAGGCCGCATCAGGATTGTATTTTACCTCAGAGGGCCAGAGTGGGTGTGGTCAGCTCGACATGACTCATGTCAGGGGTGCCTGTGGTGGCCCAAGCCCTCTGCCAGAGAAAACAGGCTCCTGAGCTCTGTTTTCAGCTGCAACGGCCTCCTGTAAGTAACCCTCTGCCAATGAAAACAGAGCTCAAGAGGGCTGTGTGCAGCCCACCTGAGTTCTGTTTTTGCTGGCAGAGGCACCGCAGGCCGGTCTTTTGCTGTTTCCAGGGTGGCCCTGCGGGCCAGATCTAATCACCTTGCGGGCCGGATCTGGCCCCCGGACCTTGAGTTTGACACCCCTGCCCTAGAGCAACAGTTGAAAGAGGCATTGTAAAAAGACACATTGTTTGAAACCCATCAGGGAGAGATGACAATGAGAGGGGAACTGGCCTGGAAAGGAGGCAAATTGTATGTTCCTGACAGCCTGTGAGCACAAATCTTGCAGCGAAGTCATGATGCCAAGTAAGCCGGCCACTTCAGGTTTCTAAAGATCCTACACTTGGCCAGAAGGCAAATTTGATGGCCAAAAATGAAAAAGGACATAGGGAGTTGCCACATGAACACTTCTGTAAAACGGTGGCCAGGAAAGACCCCCAGACTACTGCAGCAGGTGGCTGACCCAACAAAACCTTTGCTGTCCAGAGACTCTGTGTGTTGGGAAGCTAGATAAATTTGTTTAATAAAGAAGGAAAAGGCTTTGGCAGAGAGCAAGTCCTTTCACTTTTATCTGCCTCCGAGAGAGATAGAATTAGGTGAGTGTGCTTTCCCTTTTTAAAATAAAAAATAAAAATTCACAGAAAACCAGACACTGACTTCCAACACTTTTGTTCTTATTCTGGTTTTATTAGTTCATTATTATTTTCTCTCTTGATAGGTATTTTTCCATACCCATCAAGGAACCCATTTTTGCAGGGGCTGTATAGTGCAGGGCTGTACAAAGCATTGAGTATCAGGTTTCAAATCATTGTTTTCCCTTAGTCATAGCCTCAGGAAGAATTCCTTTACAGACACAAGAATCAACTCCTATAAATATGTTGGCCCTAAGCTTTAAATTCTATGTCTGTTCCCTGATGTTTTCAAGTCACTAATCTTTTAGCCATCCTTTTCTAAGTCTTGTGAAGTAAAGATATCTTTACCATGTTTGCATAGCTGGTCTGGCTGGCCTGAGGATTTTCAGTTAAGCCCTTATGGTACTTTCTTCAAAAGATCACCAAGTTGTAGAAAGTTAGCACCCACCCCTCTCCTATAAAAATGAAATATTTTGAGAAATATTAGAAAGGCAGAATATTATATTTCCCTGGATGAGAAATGGAGAAACATGCTCTTGGAAAGCAGCCCCCACCTTCCTTAATAGCCCATGGCAGATGTCAGCACTTAAGAGATAAAGAAATAGCTAGCTCTATTCATAAGCAAATACCCTGCTTCATCAATAAATATCTTTCAAATCAGTCCCCAGTGCCTTTCTCCTGGCTTGGAATTGGACCTGGATATTTTTTCCAACAAAGTACAACAGGTTTTCTAGATCAGGCAAACTGTTATCTTTCTCTACTTCCAATCCCACCTTCTGCTTCTTTAACACAAGCACAATTTATTAAAAGAAAGAAATCAAAAAGCCAAAAAATATTTTCATGACATATAAAATACAGCAAAACAATCTTCTCCATCTCTCTTTGAAAATAAAACTTCTGACTCAGTATTCTTTGAAAATGAAACAGGATGTTTTCAGGTCCTCCTTTTGGACTCAAACCAATAGGTTTGTGTGCTTCAGAATAAATACTTAGGAACCATCCAGGGAACTGTGCAGATTTAAAAGAGCAAGTATCTCCGCTGCCATCAGTCTTGCTGTAAAAACTGAAGTTCAAAAACTTCTCATTTTGCTTGTATAGATACATAATGTCTCCACTCTAAAAACAGAAAAGCTTCATTAGAAAGTGTCATTAGAAATAAATCATGGTTGTGTGGGAAGTCCCCCCACCCTCCAAAGTATGAAATATTTTGGAAATATTTAAAAAGACAGAATATTATATTTCCCTAAAGGAGAAATGGAGAAACCTGTTTTTAGAAGCAGGAAATGTCTCTCAAGTTTTTTTTAATAGCCCACAGCAGATGCCAACACTTAAGAGATAAGGAGCTTATTGAAAGAAGAAGACAAGTATCTAGATAGCTCTATGCATAAGCAAAGCAAATACTGCAGGCAGAAATCCATTAAAGACCGGATGTTTTGAAACTCCCTGCAGCAAAGTCTGAACAAAGACAGAATGGTAGGATTAGAAGCAGCCCCTCACCCAAGATCCAACACAGGATGAAAGCCATTAAGCCACAATAGGAATTGCCCAACACCCTTTCAGAACACAAGCCCCTTCATTGTACCATCCCAGAGCAGTCCAAACTTCAAACCTGGGAGCTCAGATAAACAAAAAGCCAGAGGTTGACCAGATTAGCTCAGACAAACACCTAGGATTTGTTTGCCAGCTATGACCCCTACATAAGCTCTACATGACCCCATTGAAATTTGACTATAGAATATTAAAGGACATGTTTTTGCACAGGAACAGGAAGCTCAAATACAAAGCTCAAATATAAAGCCCAAAGAAGGTATATAAAACCCACCCACCCTCAACTCCATTTTGTCAGCTGCCCAAAATCACATATGGTTCTGCTTCAGGGGTGGGATGCAAATATTTTTACTACTGGTTCTGTGGGAGTGGCTAGGTGGGTGTGGCTAGGTGGGCATGGCCATGTGACTGGGTGGGCATGGCTTTTTTGCAGAAACCCCCCTTCCTTGCTCCTTTTATTTTGTCTCCTGGGCCTCAGGGAAGCCTCCTGGGAGACCGTTTTTGATCCCAGGAGGAAAAAAATGGAGCGCAGGATGGAGCCACACAGAGCACACACACACACACCCTCACATGCCCCTTTTTCAGGGGTGGGATCCCACCGGCGTAACTACCGATTCGGTGATTTTACACTTTGCTGCACGCGTGTGTATACTGTCATCATCTAGCTGCCTGGACAGCTGAGCAGTGCTGCATGTGGGTGCGCAGCAGTTGAAAAGGCATTTTTTCCTGCTTTTTCAACTGCAGCTGTGTCGCATGAAGTAGCTGCGGTTGAAAATGCAGGAAATAAAGGTCAGGTAAGAGCCCAGTCAGGCGGGTGGGCCAAAACAGCAGCAGACATAGAACTGGTTCTATGTATGCTCTCTGTTTGCTTCTTTTCAGAGCAACCAGTTCTACAGAAGTGGACAGAACCGCTAGAATTCCACCCCTACCTTTTTTGCCTCCTCAGTCTCAGGGAAGCTTCCTGGGCGAAGCAGTAAGGCAGTGAGGTGGATCCCAGCACAGCTGATTGTCGGAACAGCTGATCGTTGGAAGGTGAAAAAAAAAAAAAAAGAAATACTGGTTTGGCTGAAGTGGTAGCTGGTTTTTTACTATCAGTTGGCCCAAATCAGGCCCAACCGGTAGAATATCACTACTGTTCTGCTCCATCAATAAACTATCTTTCCAATGCGCCTCCATGTTTCCAGTGTATTTGTCTCAGCTTGGAACTGAACCAGATGGATTTTTCTTCCAACAGCTGCAAAACTCTTCTTAAATAATTTGTAGCGCCTTACAAGACACATTTTCTACATCCATGTGCCCTCTTTAAGCAAAGTTTCCTTTCTGGCTGTCTTATTATTAAAAGTGGATTTTTAAAAACCACAAACATTTAGCTGATAAACCAATAAAGCAATTATGCCAAATGTAACCAGAACATGGGAGTAAATGGTTTATAGAATTGTTTATGTATAAATTGTATACACATATAGTAAGTCAACATATTGTTGAAGCTACTTTTGCAAAAAAATGATTATAGAAACCTCTCTCTCTCTCTCTCTCTCTCTTTCCAACCATATCACTTGAATTTGTAAAAAGAAGTGATCAGACACAGCAAGATAATTCCCATTCAACCATCTCTATATTTCCATTGGTGAAAAGTATTTCAGACATTTTAATATTAATACAGAATAGAAATGGTACAAATCATACACCATAAAAGGACAAACAAGTATTGGAATTCATTGTTGGAATGTGTTTCTGTGCAACAACTAAAGTAGTATTCAGTCAGTAGGTGGCAGTGTTTACAAGTTTGGATCTATTACACACACACACACACACACACACACACAGAGAGAGAGAGAGAGAGAGAGAGAGACTGCTCCTTTGTTCTAAGTAGTTTCCTGTTACAGTTGAACAGTTGAGCATGGTGACTGCTCTATGTATCCTGCTGTATGATTACTCTGTGGTGCTATACATAAACAAATTACCTAACAACAAGGATAATTTTCCAAAAGAAACTGTCCTCCTCCCCAATTGAGGCATAAGTGTAATATTCACCATTAACTGGAGCTGGAGTTGGCCCTCCTCAGTCTGCACACAGTTTATTACAGTATTTGGTTGGATACCCATAAAGATGGCTTGCTTTCTTACTTCTAGAGCATTATTAGGAAGCACAGCAATCAACTGCTCTGGAAAAGGATCACAGGAACAAACAGTATAAGAAGACAACAAAAAATGCCATTTTTTTTCCTATTGGGAAGTTTTGGAGAAGTCATTGATGTTAGGTTAACAATAAGATTTACCAAAACAAGAAAAAATAGAAGAACTACAAATCCTCAGCTTGAGATAAGGCCTTTGTAGACATATCTCTCACTCTAGATATTGTGGGAGAACTGTATTAATCAATGGTAATAAAGAATCAGTTTACTAGTACTGTTGCAATGTACTGGTACTGACTGTTACGCTAAACGTGGCAATGCTCAACCTTGTAAAAGTGATGGATGGACAATGGAATGTAGCCATGTGATAAGGTGCTGTGTGGAAAAGTACTGGCTGGAGAAACGGAGAAATGAGAGTAATATGGGAGAAACGAAAGTTATGGAGATAAGAGTAACTGGGAGGAGCTAAGAAGTAGGACCATGAGATACCAGCTATGGCATAGGTTTGCATTAGCATAATTATGTAGAAAGCTTCTTTGTCCTGCTATGACGTATGCATGTAGCCTATAAAAGGAGTACCCACCATTATTAAAGGGTCTTTCATCCTGAGTAAACACTGTGTGCCGTGTGTTTATTTATTTACCATGAGAGGCCCAGGGCTCTGAGTTCAGACCCTGTCGTCGCCAGGAGGCAGGCAGTGAAAAGCCACATAGTACCTTCCTAATGAACAATTTTATTAAAAGGCATAGCAGTTCACTTTATCAGATGCAGAAATGAACAGAAATACATCAGTTTAGCTACTTTATGTACCTGAGTTCATGAAAGCTTATGTGTTTTCATAAGATGTATTAGTTGGAAAAGGTATTCCCAGACTCCTTCTGATTTCTGGTAGGAATATCTGAATCTGAGAGAAATTTGGGACTGGGAGAAATACTATGGTTCTTTTCATGGCAGCATTTCAATGCCAAAAATTTAGTGTAGTGTGTATTTCCATTTCTGACATCGATAAGAATTCAGAATGGCAAGATTACTTTCCAGCACCAATCCCTTGCAGATTTCTCTAGTTATTTAATTATCTGAATTCCAACATCTAAAGTATCTATGGGTACAGAAGTACACATGTAAAATGTTGGGGACCCAGATTTAGAGTATGAAACATTCCACAGGAAATCTTTAAACCTAGAATTCAGAATAGCTTTACCAAACTAGTTACCAATAGACAGTCATTTCTGACATCTCCATTGTCAATTCTGCACATCAGAGATATTTCATTAATCATTTTGGCCAAAGACTGTTCCAGTTTGCTTGTTTGTTTTAAAAAAAGAGTTCTCCTTTTGTTTTAACCTGTGGAATTTGAATCATTTGGACTTGCTACCATGTTTCTCATATAATAAGGCTGGGTCTTATTTTTTTTTGAGCCCCGAAAAAATGGCTAGGCCGTCTTTTGGGGGGTGACTTAATTCCCCCCCTTGCATCTTCGGGCGGGCGGTGACGGCTTGGATGTTGACCTCGGCGTTGGTGGGGCACTTCGTATCAGGGTCAAAGCAGGTAGCACCATATCCGGATGTACAACAAAACTACTTCCTAACGGCAAGCCCCCCCCACCATTCCCCCCATTTCGCATGTTTTAATATAGGCCTTAATTTGGGGGGAGGGGCTTAATTTCATTTCATGGCTATAAAACATGCTGGGACTTCCTATTGGGGGAGGCCATATTGTTGGAGAAACAGGGTACTAGCATGTCATCACCCATCAGACTGAAAATTTTCTGGCTGATATCCCAAAATCTGGACAAACGTGGCCTTAGTTCACTAGCAATACACGTCACCGGGTTTAGGTTCTGAGAAGAAAATTTCTGCACTCATATAATGCAAGCAAAAAAATCCATGTTTGGGCAAATAAATGATTAAAACTACAGTGTTCCAGTAAGCTTAAAAGGTGTATCTACCACAGAAGGATACATCTAATACAACATGTGGAAGAGAACCTTCTTGGTGAGATTCTTGGTGAAGAAACTTTCTACCATGTGGCAAAATCTTATCTCTTCCATTGTACTTTAAATTGTTCTTAGGACTGATTTTAACTCTGATTATAATTCTGATCTTACTTGTACAGGTAGTCCTTGACTTATGATCACAATTGAGCCCAAAATTTCTGTTGCTAAGTGAAATATTTGTTGTGACTTTGTCCCATTTTATGATCTTTCTTGCTGCAGTTGTTAAGGGAATCACTGTAGTTATTAAATTAGTCAAACTGTTAAGTGAATCTGGCTTTCCCATTGAGATTGCTCATCAGAAGATCTCAAAAGAGGGTTACGTGACCCCAGGACTTTGCCACCGTCATAAACATGAGTCAATTGTCAAGCATCTGAATTTTGATCATGTGATCGTGGGGATGCTACAACAGTCCTAACTGTGAAAATTGTCATAAGTTACTTTTTTCAGTGCAGTTGTAACTTTGAATGGTCACTAAATGATCTGTTGTAAGTCAAGGACTACCCGTATTGGAGATTTTCTTTCAATGTTTTATCACTTGTAATTTTCATTCCTATGAGCTGCTTTGACTATTCTACAATATGGACTGAAAGATGGGGTGCCATTTGAATAAAAAATAAAAATTCAGAACAAGAATGCATTAGTTGCAGCTAAATGCTATTTTATGGTTAAAATCCACAATTTGCTGTACTGTAAAAGAGACTTAACTTCATTTTAACTAAGTGTGGTTGATTGGACCAAGATAAACTTTAGTCATGTTCAAATTAATTCTCTTTTTAGCCATTCCTTCCTTCTCTTTGCTTGACCCTCCCTTGCCAACAACAGTTAGTTAGTTAATTGATTTGTAGGCCATTCCAATCTGTTACAACTTTTGGCAGCTTATACAACACAACAATAAAAAGATAATTAAAAACAAAAAAATAATTAAACATCAAGAAAGATGCCAACCATCATTTACAATCAGAATACCAGAGATCTATCACTTACTACCTGGGCATTTATACCTTTAATACTCCTCTTCCTGAAAAGCAACAGGAGTTAAAAGTGTACAAGAAGGCAGCATTAGCTAGATTGAGTTTAGAGCTGAGTTTATACCCCCTTCCTAAGGAAATGTAGTGTCTCAAACTACTTTCTTACAAAAATTAGATGAGAAAGCAGAAAATTGTAATAATATATAAACAGGTAGTTGCTTAAAATCTGACCCAAAATTAAACTTTAGTTGGTTATACTTAATGGTAGTAGAATATTGATGACTGTGCATGTATATTTGTCATTTGTAAAGAATAAGAAAAACAATTTTTATTTCTACATTGTCTAAGTTATTTAGAAGATAGACATGCTTTAGAAACATCTCCAGAGCAATGAAGGACAAAAAAAGAAGTGCTTTTTTATTAATTATTTTTAATGCATAGCATCTTCATTTGAAAAAAAGATGGGGGTAATGATAGAGAGAGAGAGATAGTTTGCAATAAATTCATTAACCCAATCAGAACTAGAACTATAATAAATGAAACAGTAATGGAAATTAACTACCTTCTCCAAAAAAAGTCCCTTAGTTTTGTAAATTATTTTCAATACATAGGATCTTTATTTTGGGAATTTTTAATAATGAAATTGCAGAATTAAGGAGAGAGAGAGAGTGAAAGCAGAAAGAGAGCTTGCAATCAAACTCTTCAAACTAACCAGAATAGACTAAATTTTTTGTGTTGATTTTTTAAGAAGTTTGTGAAACAAGGTGCCTGGATCAATGTTGCCAACAGAAATCTCAGGTAAACATATCTGTAGAAGGCCATATCCTCACTAGTTGACATTTAGCATTTTTTTTGCAGAAAGTATAATGCCTTGTGAAACTAGGAATACCAGCCAGTCCCAGTTGCCTGGAGAATGACTGCCTTCCCAGAAAGGAAGTGTTTATTCTATAATGAATTCATGTATTCTCTGAAAACAAAAGCAAGGTACAGGTAGTCTTCATCTTATGACCAAAATTGGGACCAGAATTTCTGCTGTTAAGCCATATGGTCATAAAGCAAGATGTCATGTGACTGTATCACTTAATGACCGCAATCCTGACAGTCTGGGTTACCATCATGAACTGAGAATTGTGATTAATTAATTGTCATTAAGTGAGTACCCACCCACCCCAATCCAAGCCATTCTAAGCTTGATCCCTCCCAGTCTTGAACTTCATTTACGTAAGGGATTGCCCCCAACTCCCCCAGTTTACCTATCTACCCCCACATCTCTGCCCTTTGGCCAATCTGCCACCCTACTTTGTGAAATGGCAAACAACCACATGGCTGTGAGACTGCTTGCTGTCAGGAAACAAGATCTGCTCCAGCCCAGTTTCAGCAGTGATCCTTCTCACCACCCAGCACTCCCAAAACTCCTGCCATGGCGCACCAAACCTGTGCCTGATTTTCCCTTTTTTCCCACACAGCCTAAGCTTTTTTGCAAATGGTTTCTGGCGTGTTGGAACTCTCTCTTTCTCCCTCTCTCTCTCTCTCTCCCTCCCTCCCTCTCCCCCTCTCTCTTTTCTTTTTACAGCTGAAGGCTACTTAAGCCCAGCCCAGTAGCCAGACTGAGCATACCTCATAAGCAGCCGGAGCAACAACAAGCCATTCGGATGGCAAAAGGTATTTCCTCATTACTGATATATTAACACTGTAATGCTTCTATGTTCCTGGAAGAAACTAGAAGGAAATAGCTCAAACATGTTCCCTAACTGACTAGAAAGAGATCTGGGGAAATGGGGAAATCCCAAATCTCCTCCCTTACATCTTCTTTAGCTCATGAAGCAGAGGATACAGCACCCAAAGTTCTAAGCAGAGAAATGAGAAATGAATACCTGTGCAAATGTGGAGACTTTGTGAGCCTTGATGGATCTCTCTCTTTCTGTGATGTTCTCTGGGCCTGGTGTTACCTGTTATAACAAGGGGGTGTGATTTACATGCCCCAAGATAATATGACTAATACTTGTGTTTTAATGAGCATTGACTGGGCCTTGTGTTTTCAGGGAAATATATCCTTGGTTGGTTCAGTGAAAGAAACAACTGCTTTTTTTCTTCTCATATCCTGCCCACCAATGCTTTCAACGTGACCAAGAAGCTGCTGGAGATATTGCCCAACCTGTAAGATGGCCAAAATTGGGGGGGGGGGGGGGGGGTTGCTGACTCTGCCAAACCTGTTTTTCAAAATTCAGCATTCATTTAAATGCAAAAACACACTCAACCATTGACCTCTTGAGACAAAATACGATCACAGGTTGTTTTTCTTCTGAACATAAGACACTGGAGGTGTTCTCTTTCTCTTTTTCTTCCTTTTAGCTCAGGACTTCAAAATCCAGAATGTCCACTAAGGAACAAAGAAGGAAAGGTAGGCAGAATGGATTTGGAAGATCTACCTTGGATTTATTTTTTTGAGGACTGAAACTTTAAAATATTTGAGAAAATACAAAGTGGAAAGAAGACACGCTAGGGAGAAATTGTATAAAGATAGCCCTCAATTTATAGCAGTTCACTTAGTGATGATTGAAAGTTACATTGGCACTGAAAAAAGTGACAATTTTTCACACTTACAACCATTGTAGCATCCTTGTGATCATGTAATCAAAATTTGGATGCTTGACAGTTTGTTCATATTTCTTGTTTTTTATTTATTTTATTTTTTTTATAAAAAATTTTTTTATTTTAACAACAAAACAATATAGACATACCACATAAAACATAAAATATCATCCTTCTTCATAAATTTACAAACAGTGCATCGATAGGTTTACCACTTTTTTTTGTGCATCCATTTCCTAGTCACTAATATAATTATATTACATAATAGCTCATATTATCAATAATTGTATAATCTAATATCATCACTAAAATATCATTTATCTATAATTTTGTTAATTCATATTTTAACGAGATAACTATAGTTTACTTAGTTTATTTTGCAATAAATCATAAGATCATACCAAATCTATCTTAATAATGTTTTATAAAGATAATACCAAGAAAAAAAAGGAAAAAAAAATTTTTATGCTAAATCTGAATATTCTATTATTATGTTTTATTATCTAACCATTGATAAAAAAGATCCCAAACTTCATAAAATTGTTTATCTTCTTGTTCTCTGATTTCAAATGTCAATTTACTCATTTCAGCACAATCTAATATTTTCTTAATAATTTCTTCCTCTGATGGAGTTTTCTCACTCTTCCAGTTTTTAGCAAATACAATCCTAGCCACTGTTAATATATTTACAATCAAATACTTCAAATTTTTATTATATATATCAGGTAAGATTCCCAATAAAAAAATCTCTGGTTTCAAGTCTATATGTGTCTTTGTCATTTTTTCCAACCATATGTGAATCTTAGTCCAATATTTTCTAGTGTCCTCACAAGTCCACCACATATGGTAGTATGAGCCAGGTATCTGATGACATTTCCAGCACTTTTCAGATTTGTTCTTAAACATTCTTGCAATTCTTGTCGGTGGGAAATGCCACCTGTAAAACATCTTATACAAGTTTTCTTTATAAGCTGTTGACATTGTCATTTTATAATTTTGAGACCACAATTTTTCCCATTTCTCCAAATCAATCCCATATCCAAAATTCTTCCCCCAAACAATCATCGTTTCTTTAACTTGTTCCTCCTCTAATAACATTTCCAACAAATAACTGTATAATTTTTTAATCACTTTTTCATCAGTACCTGTCAAGATCCTGTCTAAATCAGTCAATTTATCATAAAATCCCTCCACTTTAGAATCTATAAGATACCTTGAATGTATTTGCGCATATGAAAACCAATTCATCTTTATGCCTTGTTCTTCTAGTTTTTGCATTGTTTTAAGTTCACTCTTTTCATCCAATATTTCCCCATATCTAACTGTTTGTTCCTTCTCATATATTATAGGATAAGAAAAAGCTTCAATAGTTGATAACCAGACTGGGATTTTCAAATAACATTTTCTCTTAATTTTTTCCCAATTCAACCATAAAGACTCCCTTATATAATGCCTTCTAAAATAGCCCTGCGATTTAGTTCCCTTATACCACAGAAAAGCATGCCATCCCAGTAATAAATCATGCCCTTCTAATGTCAACAATCTAGTCTTTCTTAATGTTATCCAATCTTTAACCCACATTAAATTTGCAGCTTGGTAGTATAACTCCCAATTCGGAAGGCCAAAACCTCCTCTAATTCTAGCATCTTGTAGAAGTTTTAATTTTATTCTGGCTTTCTTACCTTGCCATATAAACTTTAACACAATTTTATTTAATTCTTCAAAGTAATCTTTACCAAGCCTGATTGGTATGGTTTGGAACAAATATAAAATTCTGGGTAAAATATTCATCTTGATTGTTGAAATTCTATCTATCAATGACAATTGTAGATTTTCCCATTTCTTCAAATCAGATGCTATCTGTTGTTTAAGTTTAATATAGTTATTCTCTTTCAATGTAGTACATCTTGACATCAAATGTATCCCCAAATATTTAACCTTATTCGTAACTTGAATTTTCAATAAATCTGCCAGTTCATCTCTTTGTTTTAATAACATATTCTTTGTCAAGATCTTTGTTTTATCTTTGTTTATTTTCAAGCCCGCCATCTCACCATACATCTCTATCTTTTCCAGTAGCTTTAAAGCTGTTCCTAGAGGATCTTCCAAAATAAAAACCAAATCATCCGCAAAGGCTTGCAATTTAAATTCCTCCTTCTTAATTTTCATTCCTTTTATATTTGGATCCTCTCTAATGTTTCTATTCAGCACTTCTAAAGTCAATACAAATAACAAAGGTGATAATGGGCAACCTTGTCTTGTGCCTTTTCTTATATTAATAGAATCTGTAAAATCTCCCTCTATCATTACTCTTGCCGTTTGTTTATCGTATATGGCTTCTATTGCTTGAATAAATTTTCTAGCAAAGCCCATCTGTTCCAACAACAAAAACATGAATCTCCAATTCACATTATCAAATGCCTTTTGGGCATCTAAAAATATCAAAGCCATTTGTTTTTCAGGATGCGCCTTGTAATATTCCAAAGTGTCCAGAATTACCCACATATTATCCCTAATTTGTCTCTTTGGCAGGAATCCATTCTGGTCAGGATGAATAAAGTTATTTAGGTATCTTTTGAGCCTTTATGCCAAGATGGAAGCAAAAATTTTATAATCTGCATTCAGTAAAGAAATAGGTCTATAGTTCTTAATTTGTGATATAAGTGTGATATAAGCTTCTGACCATGTTTTGGGTGTTTTCTTATTTAACATGGCTTCATTCATAACTTCTAACAGTGGAGTTCTCAACGATTCTTGTAATGTTTTATAAAATTCTGCCGGGAGCCCATCTGGGCCTGGTGCTTTTCCATTATTCTGCCTATTAAATGCTTCCATTAGTTCCATCATTGTTATAGTACTTTCTAACATTTTTTCAGTCTCTTCAGATATCTTAGGTAGGTTAGCATTTTGTAGATAAAGCTTAATTCTTTCCTCATCAAAATCCTCCTGCTTATATAATTGTCCATAAAAGTCTTGGATAATTGTCTTTTTCTCCTTATTACCATAACACATTTGGCCTTGATCATCTATTAACTGTACTATTTTCCTAGATTCTTTCTCCTTTCTCAATTTGTATGCTAGCCATCTACCTGGTTTGTTTGCATCTTCAAAATAGTTCTGTTTAGCACTTCTAATTTTTTGTGCCAATTCTTCTTTCTCTGCCTGACCCATCTTATGTTTAATTATATCCATTTTGAATTTAATATCTTTTTTCTGTGGCATATTCTGCAATTCTTGTTCCAGTTTTTTATAATCATCTTCTAAAGC